TGAGAACTTAAGTGTTCTAATTGTATAATTTTTGTGAGGTATACATATTGTGAAATTGACTCAAAAATGAGGTACTTCAGTATTAAATTAGATATCTTCATAGCAATGTCTCCTAAAGGTGTTTTGTAAAGGATATCAATGCCTTGATTAGACCTAATTTGTAGACTTAAGACTTTTTATTTTCTAAACCTTGTGATTCTGCTCATAAATCATTTATCTAACCTATATGATATGCAGTCACTGTAGGAACCAATTTTTGATTTTTATATGTTTATATTCTTTCTTAACGAACCTTAGAAAGACTACATGTTACTAAGCAGGTCACTTTTATGGTTGTTTTTCTTGCCCACTCTGGTAGGGGAATAATCTTTTATTAATTGGTATCAGTTTCAGATAACTGCAATACCAAGAAACTGATGACCTTTTTGGAACTATTTCTCCCCAACCCGTAATACACATACTTTCTTACCTAAATTTCAAAATGATATCTTTTTGATGTCTAAAAAGCGAAGCATTTTATAATATCTCATTAGCTGGGCTTTTTAGGAACAGAGAAGTTTTTCCTTGAGATTTGATTTTTTGTTTATTTGTGGCAGGGTGAAAAATGTACAAACTGCCCCTATTTATATCTATATCTCTCTCTATATGTACAGATTATGGAAATATAGAAAGAGATATAGCCCAAAGATAAATGGTAAGTAGACGGTCTGAAAGTGTTGCTCCATACTAAAGAAACTTTCTGGAAATTTGCATTTCGGTATTTTTTTTCCTCTTGAGAGGGATCTCAATACAGGGAGGTGGCCAAGGAACAGCACTTCTCGGTGGCCACCAGTTCATGCATCCCCTCAGAAGTCTGTACTTTCTCCACCAAACCACTGGGTTGCCCAACTGTGATGGGAAAAAACGAGCGGATGTTGGCCCAGAACTCCAGGACCTCATCAGTGGGATGAGTCTCATGCAGTACACAATTTAATGTGACCAGATTTAAGTTTTAGAAATATGTGAATTAAAACGACTTTAACTTCACACAGCACAAAAGAGGAATGGAGTTTAAACTAGATTTGCTTAGTTTTAAGTCCCTTTTCCCTAGAACACCGTCCAAAAATATTGTTTATCCATCTGCCTTTAACTGTGTTTTAATGTTAATCCCAATTCAGACAAATCTGCAAACCTGTGATACTGGTAATTTAGAATAATTCATGATCACTACTGTTTTGTAGGAAAAGAGATTATAAATTCTCTTACAGTCCAGATCAGGTAATGGATTTTTGTTTTACATCTAATTAGAAGAAAAGTGAAGGAATCCTCTGATCATATTGATCACTATAGAGGCAAAAGCCAAATCAATTTCCTTCATCATCAGTATTTCTCATGCTGTACACAATAAATTTGTTAGATGGGGTACTTGGTTTTTGTCTAATAGAACGAATAATCAGTGTTTTACTTATATTACTAAATGTGAAAAACATAATGTGAAAAGTATGCATACATTAACTTGGTTGTAAAACTCATTTAAGTGTTCATGTAATGTGGTAAGTTTAAAAAGTGAAGTGAGCTGTTTTACTACAATGAATTCGTTTGACTCAAAGATTAAAATGCCCCTCCTCCCACGTGTATCTCTTCTGGCCTGTAATAATTGAAAGCAATGTTTTTGCAGTTTATATGATGCAATTTTTAATCTGTGTTTAAAAATGGAGTTCATATGGGCTTAACACATGAAATGGGTGGCACAGATCCACTTGCAGAACCCAAAGATACACAATCAATTTTGAAATGCAACTTAAGCCATTAATTGTTGGTGTGAATTTAAAATTTTCTAGTGTTTGTATGGTAGTATGCTGCCTAAGAGCAAAGCATTCTCTGCACAAAAGAAAATTACTGTAGTGGCTTTGATTTTAATTAGAATTTTCTCCCTGGTGTTTCTTTATAGACTAAAACAAAATCTTTTAAGTTTCTTACTACAGGTAAAAGCTATGTGCAAGAACCTCAAAATGCTAAAATCTAGCATAATGCCTTAGATCTGTTTTTAAGTCTTGTATATTCCTACATAGCTGTCCGATGTATTATATTTGTATAGTGAATTGTGTACAATTTTTGAATAAGTGCATCATCACTTAACCTTTATGTTGTTGAATAGTGATGATGATACATTTCTTCAAACATTTAACTGTCATTTTCTTTTCTTTTGTCATTTGTGAGTTTTATTTGTACAGTTCCTCATGAAGTTGCATCTGAGATGTGTGTATATGAAAAGATTATACAAGGGTAAAATTAAGCAATATATTAACTATGGTCCTTCAGGAGAAAGCTTACAGTGTTTCAGGTTGTGATTTATTTTCAAAACGGAGTTGACTCTGAACATTACTTTGTTCACCTGCATTGATGTTTGTATTTCTAGTGTGAGCAGTTTATGCAAAGGTAGATATATTCAAAGAAATTTTAAATACATTTATGCAAGTTAATATTGCTTTGCTGATGCTATTTGCTTATTTGATGTTAAATAATGCTATTGTAAATAAAGAATTCTGTTGTTATTGCATCATTTAATAAATTTTAATGCCTTCGGGTTTTACATGGCTTTAGAGATTTTAATGTGTTTATATTGTATCTTCCTTCATAATTTCATTTAAATTTAAAATACCTTACTTGTAATTTAATAATTTCTTACATTTATGTGATAGTTGACATTATTCACAGCACTTTAATATTTGATTCTCCCAATAACCAACTTTATAGGTTTTCAATTTCAAGTTAAGAAGGTGTGTCTTGTTTAAGGTTATCTAAAAAGTTAATAGCAAATAGGTCAAATCTAGTTCCACTGAGTCCTAAATAATGTTACTAGTCTCTTCACCACACTGTTCCACTTCCCATTCCCAAATCTCCAAAAACATTTATGAGAATAATGTGGACTTCTGACTTGCTTATTAAGGTTATATATTACACATTAGAATATTCATAATGGTTTCATAGATTGGTTTGGTAACAGTTGATAAACAGTGCAAGTACAATATGTAAAAAACAAGGTCATAAACCATATGAAATACTAGTAAATACCATCTGGAATTGTTTTTTAAAAATACCACAACCAAAATGAGTGATTAGAAAAATCTGTCCATGCTATTAACTATACTGACAGACTAAAGGAAAGAAAAAACATGTGGTTAAGGGCCGGCCCGGTGGCGCACTGCTGTAGTGCGCCGCTTGGGAAGCGCGGTGGCGCTCCTGCCGAGGGTTCGGATCCCACATACAGACTGGCTGAGCAAGGGGCGGGAGCAACACCGAGGGTTGCGATCCCGTGGCCGGTCCCGGTCCGGTATGGGCGCGACACTGAGGGTTGCGATCCGTTGCCGGTCACGAAAAAAGACAAAAAGAAGAAAAAAAAAAAAAAAAACGTGGTTAATACATGTTTTTTGATAAATTTGCATAGGAGAAATTTCAGCTCTCATTCATAAGAAACTCTCTAGGAAAAAATAAATGTCGTAGCTTATTTAAATTAAGGTTATCTGATGCAATCCCATTGAGACATCATACTTAATGGTGAACTATTAAAAGTATTAATTAAAGTCAACAAAACAAGGAGGCCCACAACCAACGCAGGAAATGAAGTATTAATACTGGAATAAGGGCCGGCCCGTGGCTCACTCAGGAGAGTGCGGTGCTGATAATACCAAGGCCATGGATTCGGATCCCATATAGGGATGGCCGGTTAGCTCACTGGGTGAGCGTGGTGCTGACAACACCAAGTCAAGGGTTAAGAGCCCCTTACCGGTCATCTTTATATATATATATATATATATATATATATAAATAAATAAATACTGGAATAAAAGAAAGATTTTCAGCCAATTGGCCATTTATAGGGAAAACCCAATAAATCAAAGTTGTGACTGACTCTTGGAATGGATAAAAAAGTCTGTGTACAATTGCTAGAATATACAAATATCAATCCTGTCTATGCGGGCCGGCCCATGGCTCACTCGGGAGAGTGCGGTGCTGATAACACCAAGGCCCTGGGTTCGGATCCCACATAGGGATGGCTGGTTCGCTCACTGGCTGAGCCTGGTGCTGACAACACCAAGTCAAGGGTTAAGATCCCCTTACCGGTCATCCCTTAAAAAAAAAAAAAAAAATACTGTCTATGCACACTAATTTTTAAATTTTTGATGTATTTTTAACTATTTTAATGTAATTTTTAAATGTATTTTTTAAATATTCCCATTCACAATAACAAAGTAATAATGCTTATAAAATTGAATTACACCTAACATGAAGTGTGAAAGACCTTTATGAAGGAAATTATAAGATTTTACTAAAATACATAATGAGAAAATGGAGACCTGACATGAACCCAGAAAGACCCAGTATTATAAAAACATCCATTTCCAATCAAAATCCAAAAGGTAAAATGCATTTGGAAGATAAAATGTATGGATGAGAAAAAATTTTTTGCATAGTACTTTTTTTTTGCTTATGAATATTCATGAGATACAAAGTTGGATGAGAAATTCTGAAGAAGAAAAAGAGGTGAGACTTCTTTGTTTTGGGCAGCTGGCTGGTATGAGATCTAAACCTTTGACCATGGTGTTATCAGCACAGTTCTCTAACCAAGTGAGCTAACCAGCCCAGATGTGGGATTTAAAACAACAAGATATAACTTATTAATTAGCATAAAATACTTATACAGAAATGGATAAATACATCAGAATCATAGAAAAGAGCCAGGGACATAGCTGCATAAATGTTAGTTTATACATGAAATACAAATATTTAAATATAAATATTAAAAATATGGAAATTACGTTTTTAATCCTAGGAATCAGTTCTTAAGAAAATGGTGCTGGACAACTGGTTCCATTTGGGGCAAATACCAAGTTAACTTCCTATCCCACAATATTAACAAATGCCAAAGAGATTAGGGGGCTAAACATAACAAAACATAAAATTATGAAAAGGATATGTTTACATTTTTGGAAAAGTGAAGGCATTTTTTTTTTGGCTGCTGGCCAGTACAGGGATTGAACCCTCAACCTTGGCATCATCAACACCATGCTCTAACCAACTGAGCTAACTGGCCAGCCCCAAAGGTATTCTTTAAAAGACAAAACCAAAAGTTATTAAAAGCATAAGTGGATATAACTATATAAAAATATTCTACAAAAAAGTTAAATTTGAAGACTCAGCAAACATCGTGTGTAATGAATATTAAGAACAAAGTTTATAAAAATGAGAAATGGGAAAATGAGCAAAAAACTATGGACAGATAGTTAAAAGTGAAAAATGGCTAATATAAGGTGTTCAGCATCAGTAGAAATCAATAGATGCAAACAAAAACAATAAGGTACCATTCTTTATTCATCCATTTGCAAAAAATTAAGAGTTCAGCAATAGACATGAATACCTCCACCAACTGTGGTGGAAACAAATCCTTTGGCATACAGAGTAAATGTGTAAGTTTGGTAAGAGTGGTATTCGAATTTTGGGTAGAATTCATCACTGAAGTCATGTGGCTGGAGTTGTCTGGCCTCCAGTTTAATTGTTCAAAATGTCTCTTCTTTTTAAATCTGCCCTCTGTGTTATTTCACTTACTGCATATTTGAATTTCCCCCCCTAGTTTGTGCTTGCTTTGGGTTTATTTTGTGTGGGGGGGGGGGGGTCCTGACCTTGAAAATGTGTAAATTGTTCATCAATTTCAACCTTTGTTTTTTAAGATACATACTTCAAGGCTATAAATTTTCCTCTGTTTACTGCTTTAGCAGCATCCCACACATTCTGTCTGCTTCTCTCAGTTAAGATCTCCTATTATGGTTTGGGGTTTTCCTTATTTCTGTCCATTACTGTTTCTTGTATCCATTCAGAAGCTTATTAGGAGCATATACGTTTCTTCAAGATAAACTGACCCTTGTATTATTATATAATGCCCCACTTTATCTCTGGTATTCCTCATTGTCTTGTTTTCTTTGTCTGATATGTATATAGGCACACTAAAGCTGAATTAGTTTTGCATGCTATACGTTTATTCACCTTTTAACTTTCAACCTTGTAAACATGTATGTTGTTCCTTACTAATTTTTTTTACCTGTCTATCAGTTACTGAGAGAGAGGTGTTAAGTTCTCTTTCTCCCTTTAATTGTATTTTCTGCTTTTGTATTTTGAAATATTCTTGTTAGGCACATAGACATATGTTATATGTTCTGATAAACTGACCCTTTGATTACTTGTTTAGAGATCAGAAAATGAGGGAGCATGACATGTAAGAATCTGGGGGGAGGAATGTTCCATTTGGAACAGAGAACAAGTGCAATGTTTATGAGATGGAAACCAGCTGTGGTGTCTGAAGTGCAGCAAGGCCAGTGTGTGGCTGGAGATACCTGAGGGAGCAAGTGGCAGATGAGGACCAAGAAGTAGCCAAGGGCCAGCTCATATTAGGTCTTAAGACCAAGGCAAGGAATTCAAGTTTTATTCCAAGTGTAAGGGAAAGCCATTGGAGAGTTTTTTTAAGCAAAGAAGTAATCTGTGTTTTTAAAAGTTTGGCCTCTGCGTGGAGAAAAGTCTGTAGGGAAACCACTTAATAGGCTATTGACACAATCAGTTAAGATGGAGAATTGAACCCATGACTTTACCTCAGCTCCCTCCCAAATCCCACTAAAATGAAGGCTTTTTACAGAGGCATAAACCCATAAAGGCAAGGAAAATAGAAACAGCAGCAATAAATTTTAGAAGTTGAAAGCAGATGCGGGAGGTGGGGGTGGGAAACAGAAATGAAAGCAGATTAAAAAGTGGGTTTTGTAGACCCAAGAAAGCTGAATGCTAAGCCAGCAGTGAGTAGCACCAAGAAACAAGCAAAATTTCACCATAGAACTTCCCAGAGGCTCAAGAATTAGCAGGTGCTGCTGGATATGGGCATGAGAAGCTGGATCAAGAAGCTGGCAGAACTGCTCCTCTGCTCCAAGCAAACAACCTCCCCAACTTGGATAGAAGAAATTCAAATGTATTCTCCAGAAATGCTTAAAAGATGGGTCAGGGTAGTACCGTACTGGAAATAGGATATTAGGTGACATCTACAGTTAGAAGTTTAATCCCTCTTTACCAAATTAGCTTTCTGAGCACATTCTCCAGCCTGGTTGTCTAAGTGTCTTAACAAGGGAATCTGAGCAGCCCCAGAGAAAAGGCCCACAGATACTAACATCTGTTGTTCCCCAATAAAAATGTCTAGGTCAGGGCTGGCCCGTGGCTCACTTGGAAAAGTTTGGTGCTGATAACAGCAAGGCCATGGGTTTGGATCCCTATATAGGGATGGCCAGCTAGCTCACTTGGGAGAGCGTGGTGCTGACAACACCAAGTCAAGGGTTAAGATCCCCTTACCAGTCATCTTTTAAAATAATTTTTAAAATAGTCTAGGTCATCTTACAGTGAGGCCCACACACTGAGCTTACAAACATGTTTTAGTGCCCCTCTCTAAAACATGAGTGTATAGCCAAGGATCACCACACTTCTGAGGAAAACCCTCCCGTGGAAGAGACAGCAGCAGTCCTGAAAATGCACCCTTCATATCTGCTGAGCAGGGGAATGTGGTTGGCCCAGCCCAGCTGCTGCTCATTTCCCACAGGCAGCTCCGAGCCAGTGACTGAGCACAGCAGGATGTAAGGCAGGCCCACTTACGAGTGAGCAACAGGACTGCTCCATGAGCAACTTTGCCTCAGGCATTCTGTGTGGGCCTTGCTGTCTTAGAATCATGCCTAACTCTAAGATTTTTTTCACCTAAACCTCCTTCACAGTTTTTCAGCTCTTCTAGCCTTGTGTATTCCACTCTACTTTCACCAACAAGCATTTCACCTAATAAATCACTTGCATGTCTAATTCCATCTTGGTAACTGCTTTTTGGAGGGCCCAGACCAGCAAAAATGATCCAAGAAAACAGGAGAAAAGATGAGGATCTGGGACCAGCTCACTCAAGGCCAGTAGAAAAGGATGTCATCCTGGTCGGTAAGTGTAGGATAGAAAGTCCCTGGCACAAGGTGGCGGCTCAACTGCTAAAGATTTCACTGGTTGTGACTGAGGACACCAAGCCAAGGGTTAAGATCCCCTTACTGGTCATCTTTAAAAAAAAAAACACACACACACAAACTTACGATCCTTGTTCAGTTCTCAGACGTGAGACAATTTTCAAATTCAAAACCCACTGACTGAGGAGGTGGTTGAGATCCTACAAGTATGAACCCTGCAACAGCAAAAAAAAAGTTCGTTTTTTAAAAAAATCTACAGTTAATGGACCAGCTGGTTAGCTCACTTGGGAAAGTGTGGTGCTGATAACATCAAGGTCAAGGTTCAGATCCCCTACCAGCCAATTGCCAAAAAAATTTTTTTTATGTTGTAAAGAATATTTTAAAAATAATAACATAAATCTACAGTTAAGGTTTTTCTTTCCTTTTGTCCACTTTTTTTTTTTTTTGTCTTTTTTTCATGACCGGTAAGGGGATCACAACCCTTGGTGTAGTGTCACCCACACCGTGCTCAGCCAGTGAGCGCACCGGCCAGTCCTATATAGGATCCGAACCCGCGGCGGGAGCGTCGTTCCGCTCCCAGCGCCGCACTCTCCCGAGTGCGCCACAGGGCCGGCGCACCTTTTGTCCACTTTTTAAGGGGGAAAGTAATATTAGAAAGTTCTGATTGCTTATGAAATAGTGAAGATTTTAGAGAAGGCACTAGGATTTCTCAGAAGAGAACTAGTTTCAGAAAGGTCATTTTAAGGTAAATGGTAGGAAATAAAGTATGTTGTTGGAAGAAAAGTCAAATATAGTAAAAGTTGTAAGGAGGAATTATTTCCCTAGTGGACCTACATTTGGTGTGTTTAAATCTATGACTTATTGATATGTTGTAGCACATTTTCTATGTAAAATGATCAATACAGCAAAATAATAAATGTGAGGCAAGGGGGAAAAAAAAAAGAACCCTGCAACCCCATGGCAAGTATATACCATAAGCATTCCCCAGTCTTTCCCTAAAGGGAGCCATAGTCATTTACTCAGGTGACTGCACTGAGAAACATACGGAGGATTAGTGACACAGGGTCTGAGTTGGCGTTGATACCTGCTGTCATCTTGGACATTTTTCCCCTCCAAAATTCATGTTGAAATTTGATCCCCAATGTGGCAGTGTCGGGAGGTGGGGCCTAGTGGGAGATATTTGAGTCATGGGGGGCAGATCCCTTATGAATAGATTAATGTCCTGGGGGGTGGGGGGTGGTGAGTGAGTTCTCCCTCTGTTAGGTCCCACAAGAGCTGGTTGTTAAAAAGAGCCTGGCACCTCCCCTCCCTCTCTCTTGCTTCCTCTCTGACCATACCTGCTCCCCTTCCAGTTTCTTCCATGAGTGGAAGCAGCCCGAGGCCCTCACAAGATGCAGCTGCCCAGTGGTGGACTTGCCAGCCTACAGAATTGTAAGCCAAATAAACCTCTTTTCTTTTTTTTTTTTTTTCTTTTTTTTGAGTGGTAAAGGGATCGCAACCCTTGGCATGGTGTGGTCTGCACCACACTCAGCCAGTGAGCACACCGGCCATCCCTACATAGGATCCGAACCCATGGCCTCAGCGCTACCAGTGCCACACTCTCCCAAGTGAGCCACTGGGTCGGCCCTAAACCTCTTTTCTTTATAAAATACCCAATCTCAAGTATTCGGTTATAGCAACACAAAACGAACTAAGACGGCACCTGAAAACATAAGCATCATCCTGAATCTCTGTTAGAGTGGGGGCTGGGTAATCAATGAATTCCTGGCCCAAGTCCCACCTACAATGGGCCCATTGGTTCCATGGACCCACCCAGTGGACTTTTTTCTAGTCCCCAAGTGAACAACAGGAATTTACATGCATGACAGTTGGAATAACCCCTATATGGGGTTGCTGACCCATGGAGGAGGCAAAGTGGAAATTTTAAAACTGCCATCCAACCAAGACAGTAAATCAAAAACAGTACTGCTTTGGGGAGGGGAGGGTGGCAAAGATGACCTACTGAAGACTACAGGACACGGCGTGGAGGCTCCTGTCCATGCAGCCTGGACATCACTACCACTATTTAACC